GAAAGTATACCTGGAACATGGTGGGGAAAGGAATGCAACACTTCAAAAATAAACAGCATAGAGCTGGAGAAACCAATATTGCACCTTACCAAATATACAAAAGATTCTGAGAACATTCCAGAAGGACAAGGGTTACCTGTAGATTAGTCTAAAGAACCAGGCAGATGTCCTGCCTAGCTCAGAGCTGCTCTGGGAAACACGCCTACACAGAGGACTTTATCAAGCATACCAGTAACAATCAATGAAAGATACCAGGGTTTCTGAGGCCTTCCACAGAAACAGGATCTGCCCCTCCTAAAGTCACTGCCAGCAAAGCAAACTCGAGGACTTCTTCTGCACAGAGAAGGCGAGCAGGAGACTGGGGCGATATCCCACTGCATCCCAGGGCGTGCAGCACAGGTATGACCAACCTGCAGACTAGAAGCAAGGGGTCAGGGCTGACCAGGCTCCCCCAAGTCTCTGACTTCTTCCACACCTCTTCAGACCTTACCAAAGAAGGCCAACACTCTCCAAGAAAAACCCTTGAGGAAGAAAAAGTTGAAAGGCAGCCAAGAGGGGGCTTTGGGTCTATGAATAGAAGAGCTAGGATAGACACATCTGGCTACAAAGTCCTGTGTTTTGTTCCTCAACGAAGTCACTGCCATAAGCTGGCATGAAGGGAAATATGAGGGTCACTTAGTGCCCACCGACAATTGCTCCAGCACGTCTGAAGACACTACAAATGCTGGACATTCAAGCCTCTTACCTAAATGCTCTGGTGTTCACACAGAACCCATGTACATTCACCCCACAGCTGAAGATACTTCAACAAGTTTGTGGAAATGCATATTGTGAAAAAACTATTCAGTGATTTCAAAGACATTTTGTACCTGTTTTTCCGTAAGTTTATTTTGCAGAGACAGGGAGCAAGAGAGACAGAGACTATGAGAGATAGCCTCCATCTTTGGTTCACCGCCCTACCACCATGACCAATGCCTACATCAATGGCTGGGGCTGGTGCAGTGCAGAAACCAGGATCGAGGAGCTAACCAGCTCTGCTCTGTGGGTGGCAGTGACCTGACTACCTGAGCCACCAGCACAGCCTCCCAGAACCTGCATCAGCAGGAGCTCAGACTCGGGACTGCAGTGTAAAACCAGGGCATTGCAGCTGACATCTTGGGGTAAAACTCCACCCCTAGATTTAATTAACCTTCCATGAATATTTTAAGTACCCTTGTATTTTATTTATTTACTTGAAAGTCAGAGTTACAAAAGGGAGTGAGAAAGAGAGAGAGAGATCTTCCTTCTACTAGTTCACTCCCCAATGGCCTCAATAGCCAGAGCTGGGCCATTAGAAGCCAAGAACCAAAAGCTTCTTCCAGATCTCCCACATGGATGCAGTGGCCCAGGCACTTGGTTCATCTTCCATTGCTTTCCAAGGTACATTACAGGGAGCTGTATTTAAAGCGGAGCCACCAAGACCAGAACCAGCACCAAGGTGGGTTACCGGCCCTGCAGCGAGAGGTTCCCCCTGCTATGCTACAGCGCTCCAATATGGGATGCAGGATGACCCAGCTCTGGCTTCACCTGCTGCATCGAGGACAGTGATGTAGACAGTGAGTGCCCTTCCCCATCCACGCCTGCTTTCTCTTCTGCCTGTCAAAGCAAATGATTTCCTGGCTGTCCAACAATGGCTGGAAAAGTTGATACCAACATTAGCCTCGGGGGGAAGAGCAATTTTTATTTCGGATTTTGGCTAGAAACAAGTAGTAATGATATCAGTCAGGGGTGTACACATGTGGCAAGGGCAGGAAGGGGGATATAGAGCCATGAGCAAAAAGGCCAGCACTAGGCCAAAGTCCTCACTTCGCACGCCGCTGGGATCCCATGTGGGCGCAGGTTCTAATCCCGGTGGCTCCACTTCCCATCCAGCTCCCTGCTTGTGGCCTGGGAAAGCAGTCAAGGACAGCCCGAAGCCTTGGGACCCTGCCCCCGCGTGGGAGACCCAGAAGAAGCTCCTGGCTCCTGGTTGCTGGCTTTGGATCACCTCAACTCCAGCCATTGTAGCCATTTGGAGAGTGAATCAGCAGACACAAGATCTTCCTCTCTGTCTCTCCTCCTCTCTGTATATCTGCCTAATAAAAAATAAATAATCTTTTTTTAAAAATGAAAGGCCAGAACTCCCCTGCATCCTGCACCCCGACGCAGCTTCTGTTCCAGCTGTTCTCCTCTGTTGTGAGTGGCCTATCTCCCGCCCTCCTTCCTGAAGTCCTCTTAGTATCTCGTAGCTCCCACCTGCCAAAGTGAAAACACAGAAGTTGCTCCTACTGAGAAGTGCCCCAATTCCTCCCCCATTGGCTTATCCCATCACATCCCCCAGCTCCAAGCCCACAGCCCTCGCAGCGGCCTCCCTGGTACAGGTGACAGATGAGGCAAGACCTGGTTTTGCTTGAGGTCCTGGTGAAGAGGGGGGCCCCCTACAGCCGGGGGAGGGTAGGGCTGTAGAGAGTTGATAGGACTACACAAGTGGGCTGGGCTCCCTTCCCTGGCTCCCCTCAGATCAGTGCCTCCACCTACAAACACCACTGGCATCCAATGAGGGTGCTGGGTTGAGTCCCAGCTGCTCCGCTTTCTATCCAGCTCCCTGCTCATACACATGGGAAAGCAATGGAGGATAGGCCAAGTGCATGGGACCCTGCATCAACGTGTAAGACCCAGATGAAACTCCTGGCTCCTGACTTCAGACCAGCCCAGCTCTGGCTAATGCAACCATCTGGGAAGTGAACCAGCTGATGGAAGGGGTGTGTGTGTGTGTGTGTCCTTTCCTCTGTTTATGTTAGCACTTTCAAATAAGTAAATAAATCTTTCCCATAAAGAAGAAGAGGAGGAGGAGGCTCACTAGCTCACCCCCACTTCCTGATCCTGGACACCGATGGGCAGCTGTCAGGGCCACAGATAGGCTGATTCCCCGCTAAGGCAGCTGACCCCCAAGGCGAAGCCCTTCCACGCTGGGTCTCAACCCCACACAGCTAATCAGCCCAAAGTCTAACCTCAGAGTGAGATCATCCCCTCAGACACAAAAAATAACAATCCGTCAATGGGTCTGTCACGGTCCCCGCCCCATTCTGAATGTCTTGAAACACCGCTGAGTAAAGATAAGAGAGTGTAAGCTCTACACAAACGGTGGAAAGCAAGCCAATAAACATCAAAGATGAGCTCCCAGCAGCCGCGACGCTGTTTCTAACAAAGACAGGAAAAAGGAGCAAACTTCTTCAGTAAAGGGGTAGGGCGAAGGGAGAATTTACATGGGCACCCTTGCCGGGGCGCCCCGGCGTGGAACAGCGACCCCTCCACAGGCATTAGGCGGGTGCGCCCTGAGGAAGGAAGACCCCCTCCCCGCCTCCGACACCGGTGCCTCTGTGAAGCCCTTGCTTTTGGACGCCGGTGCAAAAGGGAAAGAGGACAGAGCCTAGGCGGTGCGCTCTCGGTCCCGGGGAACACGCGCTTCGCGGCGTTCCTGCTGGGGAATCAGAAACGGGTATTCCGAGGCTGAAACTCCCGCTGGCCCCTGGAGCCTTCCTCCGGAGCCTCGGGGTGTATGCAGCACCCCGCGCCAGGCATCGCTGTCCCAATAAGCGGGAGCTTGCCTCCCCCTTCCCTCTAGGAGCCATCAGACAGGTGCAAAGAAAAAGAAAAGTGAAAGTTGGGATGCCCTGAGTGATCTAGAATCAAGGTGAGCTACAAAGGCTCAAGTTCAGCCTTTTATTCATCCAAAGGGGGGAAAAAAGGACAAAGAATAGACCCTGCAAGGGAAATCACAGGGAGGGGCGCCCAGCTCCGTGGCTCCCCGAGAGGGGTCACCGCCAAGTGCACTCCGCGCGATTTCTGCTGTTCGCCACCTTGGTCACGACTGGGACAGGAGACCAGGAGGGGCTGCTTCCCCGCCGAGTAGCGCTGTTTCCACGCCGACGCACCCAGCGGAGGCCCGCAGGCCAGGACAGATCCCCGCCACCCCCTGCCGGCCCCTCCAGCGCGCGTCCCGGGGCACAGCCCTTCCAGGTGTGTCCGCCCGCCAAGTCGCCGCCTGGAATTCCGGGGCGCAGGGGACCCCTCCTAGGCGGGGCGCTCACACCTGAGCGGAGGGAGTGGTGGGGCGGGGCGACACACGCGCGCACACGCAAACTCCCGGCCGCGCGCGTACACACACACACACACACACACACACACATCCTGGCGCGCGCGCGCGCGCGCTCCTCATTGGCGGGAGCGGCAGGGCGGAGCGGGCCGGACCCAAAACAAACAACCTGCCGCGCCGCCGCGTGGCCTCGGCCTGGGGAGCGCCCGCGCGGGCAGCCGCGGCCACCTCGGCCACCTCGGTCCTCCCCGCCCAGACCCCGCCCCCGCGCTGCGGCCGCAGGGTTAAATTGGGCCGGGCCGAAGGTGGAGGCGACACGCAGCCGCGGCCGGGCCCCGCGCGGGGATGCTGCCGGGGAGGCCGAGGGCGGGAAGGCGGCTGCGGGCACAGCAGCAGCCTCGAGGATTCAGCTGCGCGGGTGCTCAAGGTTAAGGACGCCGGTCTCTCCCGCCAAAAAGACGGCTGCGCGCACCGGTTCCCGCACCGTATCCGTGCCCCCGCCAAGGACTTGCGGCACCAGGCTCAGGGACCTCAGGTTTAGATTGCCCCGTGCTCGTGGGCTCGCGAACGGAGCGCAGATGGGCGCGCGACCTCCCTCCGGCAGGAACTGCTTCTAAAGCCGGCGCCAAGGGTGGCCCCGCAACCGCCCACCGCATGCATCTCACCCCAAACTGAACGGAAGACAGCGCCCACCCGGCTGCTCGCTCTCCGCCCTTCAGAGTGAGCCCGACGCACGCCCAACCTTCAGCGCGGCAGAGGAGCCTACCACGGAAAACTGACTCTCGGAAGGTGAAGGAGTGAGAAAGACTTGGGGGCCGCGGGACCCGCCATCCCCGGCACCTCCGTCCCCCACTACTACCACCGGCGGGGGTCCGAGCGCGCGGACATGAAGCTGGAGGTGTTCGCCCCGCGCGCGGCCCCCGGGGACAACAAGCCCGGCAGTGACCTAGAGGGCGCGGGAGGCAGCGACGCGCCGTCCCCGCTGTCGTCGGCGGCCGGCGACGACTCTCTCGGCTCGGATGGCGACTGCGCTGCCAACAGCCCGGCGGCGGGCGGCGAGAACCTGGCGGGAGGCAGCGAGCGCGAGGGCAGCGCGGGCGGCGAGCCGGACTCCGAGGACCAGAGCGCGGCGGCGGCCGGGACGGGGGGCTCCGAGGCCGGCGCCGCGGGGACCGGCGCGGGCGGCGCGGGCGGTGGCGAGGGCGCGCGCGGCAAGCCCTACACCAGGCGGCCCAAGCCCCCTTACTCGTACATCGCGCTTATCGCCATGGCCATCCGCGACTCTGCCGGCGGGCGCCTGACCCTGGCCGAGATCAACGAGTACCTCATGGGCAAGTTCCCTTTCTTCCGCGGCAGCTACACGGGCTGGCGCAACTCGGTGCGCCACAACCTGTCGCTCAACGACTGCTTCGTCAAGGTGCTGCGCGACCCCTCGCGGCCTTGGGGCAAGGACAACTACTGGATGCTCAACCCCAACAGCGAGTACACCTTTGCCGACGGGGTCTTCCGCCGCCGGCGCAAGCGGCTCAGCCAGCGCGCCCCGGTGCCGGCGCCGTCCCTGCGGCCCGAGGAGGCCCCCGGCGCCCCGGCGTCGCCCCGCGTGCGCTCTCCCGCCCGCGCGGAGGGGCGCGCCAGCCCCGCGGCCAAGTTCTCCAGCTCTTTCGCCATCGACAGCATCCTAAGCAAGCCCTTCCGCAGCCGCCGCGACCGGGACGAGGCCGCGCTCCCCGGGGCGCCCCTGCCGTGGGGAGCCCCTGCCTCAGCCGCCGGCGCGCCCTGCCAGCCTCTGCCCGCCTACCCCGCGCTGCTGCCCGCCGCGCCCGCCGGGGCCCTGTTGCCGCTGTGCGCCTATGGCGCGGCCGAACCCACGCTGCTGGGCGCTCGCGGGACCGAGCCGCCGCCGCCCGCGCCTCACCTCCTGCTCGCGCCCCTGTCCGCGCCGGCTCCCGCCAAACCGTTCCGAGGAGGCCCCGCGCCCGGCGCCGGTGGCGCGCACCCGTACTGCCCCCTGCGGCTGCCCGCGGCCCTACAGGCGGCCTCGGCCTGCGGGCCCGGCCCGCACCTGCCCTACCAGGTGGAAAGGCTCCTGGCCTGAGGAAGCCGCAGAGGGAGAGGAGGAGAAGGAGCGGACGCAGGTTTTTCGGGCCGTGCACTTTCCACCCAGAGAAAAAGAGACTTAAAAGAAAAAAAAAAATTTCTCCATCAGGTGTGCCTTAAAGCTAAAGCGATTGGACCCGAGGGTTTTCTCTAGGTCCAGAATATTGTCTTTTTATACCTTTACTGAGGACCAAAGCAATTCTTAGTTTCTTGGCCTAACCTGCCCCTTCCTTTTTGAAAACCCTTCCTCTCCTCTCTACCTACTTCCCCACCCTTCACCCCTTTCATTGGCTGCCCCCCCCCACTCCCTCACTCCACCGCCCTTCTGAAAACATCAGGGAACCATTGGTAACCCAATGCTATGACTACTGTTTGGGGTCTCTGGGACCCCTCTCCGTGGAGGTATGCGGCATTTACAGGGATGACAAAGTGAGACGGAGTTACCCTGGCGTGCAAAAAAAAAAAAAAAAAGGCTTCACTGTGCCAAAAAGAGAGAGGGGGTGGGGTGGGGGGAAAGCTGGGTTTTGTAATTAAATTATTTATATATTTTTGAAACAGAATCGCAAATGTTGCAGGCAACGGGTTACAGCTTTATGAGCGTTTCTGCTAAGTATTGTCGCTTCTTGAATTGTATAAGTTCTCGCTGTGTGTGTGTGTGTGTGTGTGAGGTGGGGGAGCAGGTGCCAGGGTCACCGCCACTTGGAAGTCAAGTGTGATTTCTGTTTTTTAATATTATTTTATTTGTGTCTGTGTACAGATCCTTGTATAGATTTTATGAAACCTCCCGGGGAATAGTGCTTATTTTGTAATAAAAACTCACAGACTGGCACATCTTGTGGTGATGACTCGAAGAGAAGGGTTTGGTTTGGCTCCCACTTTCCAAACCTGAGTTTTCATTTGGGTCCCAAGGAAGGTTTTCCTCCCAGATTATTCAAAATAAAAGAGCTAATGCTGAAGTTGTACAAACGTCCAGCCTTGGCTATTTCTTATACTTGAAACCACTTACCTTGGCAAGTCTCCACTGAAGTCACCAGGCAAGGCCTGTGTGCTTGCCCCCTGGAGAGCTCACAGCAGGTCTGTGGAGCTCTGAATTAGCTTGTAATCAAGCAGACATTTTCAAGGAAATTAGCCGTAATCGGGAACAAAAACAAAACAAAACAAAAAAAAAAAAAACCCTGGAAACCTATCTTGGCATTTAGTGTGTCTGACACACCAAAGATGACCTAGGGCAGTTTAAAGAATACCTTGCATGGGTGTGAACAAACCAGAAGTAAGGATTTTTGGTGTTTTGTTGGCTCCTTTGTGAAGATGGAGTTTGCCAGAGATGAACACAGACCTCTGAGTAAGTCCAAAGGCGCTGAGTGGGTGGGACTCGAACCCCTATGGAAAGTTAAACACACAGGGTGTTCAGAAACTAAACCTGGGCCTTGCTCTTTTCAAGAGGGGCCTACACAGAATGGGGTGAGAGCAAAGTAGAAACGATTTCAGAGCGTTGACCTTGAAATGGGAACTGGAAGAAGAAGGGCCATCTGCAAACTGAGTTAACAAACAACAAGTGTCCACTGACTTGGTAATCACAAAGGATGAGGCTAAAAGAGCCGAGCTGGGAGGAGGCCAAGAATTAGACCCCCAAAACAATCGAAACAGAGTAGCTGCTGGGGATAGAGACCAGCAGGCTCCGGCGAGGAAACCCCCAGGTCAGGAGCACCCTGTGAGGCTGGAGAGCAGTCGGCACCTGCAGGCAGGTGCTCCACACCTCCAGTCGCAGCAGCCTCTTCCCTCACACTGCAGAGGCCAAGAACATTCACCTCTTGTAGCAGGAGGGCCACGGTGGGGAATACAGCCACTCTCTCCTCTTGCACAGTTCTCCCTGCATGTATAATCGCGTTTCTTTTGCAAAAACAGCTCCCTCAACGAGGAACAGGGCAAAGCCGAGTTTTCACAATCAGGGGGCCATTCTCCGCTCGAGAAGAAAACTCCTTTGTTCCTAAGGAATAGCCGCAGCCTCAAGGATTCGGCCCCATTGTTTTGCAAGGTTTTCCTGGAGTCGCTTGTTCTTAGCGCCCTCACAGGTCCCATCCGCTGTCTCCGGTCCCCAAAGACAAGTCCTTCTCGTGGAGGAAGCCAGGAGAGGCCGGGGAGGGGTCCTGGGATGGGGCTCTGTCAACTTCCCGCCCTAGGGATTCGGGTTTCCCAGTACGCACGCGCCTGCATTTCTAGTGACCCCAGAAAGTGACCAACGGTGCCGGCCTCCTGAGCTCGCTGGACCCGCACACCCACCCGAACCAGCCCACTGGAGACGCCCCCTCCCCTAGCATCGCCAACAAAACTAATCCCTCGCTGGCCCTCCAGGTATCTAAAGGCCCCGGGAATCCTAGCCTTCCGGAGTCAGGACCTCCCTAAAGCCAAGGGCAGGACACAGCCCTTCCCAACACTTAGTCCTCCTCGCCTCCAAGCAGCCCCCTCCCTTCAGATCCCAGCACGCCCCTCCCCGGGCCAAAGGGGTCGCAGCCCAGCTGTGCAAACAGGGGGATGTGGGGCTTCCCAGGTTGACCCTGAACCATAGCCTGAGGCGTGGAGCGCTGGGTGCGGGTGAGGGGTCTGTTTGGCTTGGGAAACGCCCTTTGACACCTGTTAGGATTGCCTGGCACACTGCACCCTCGCTGGCTCCAGGGCTGAGGCCAATTCTCCCGGTGCAGCCTCCATTTTTCCCACCATCACCCCCCCACACACACACACACACACACCCCTAAACGAACTCTGCCAGCCTTGAGGGACGGGGATCCCAGAGCTAAACATTTTCTCGTGCACTCCTCGGACCCAGCCAACCCTGCTCACTTCCCCGCAGCACCTTCGGCTGGCTGCCTTAGGGAGCTGGAAGGATCCTGGCAAGAGGAAAGCGCGCTCTGAAAGGAGTCCTGGCCTCAAAGCTTCTGTGTGCTGTAGAACCCTGTGCTCCTGGTTGCGGGAAGTGCGCGGCTGTGTGAAGAACGCGCTGAGGCCCATGACGACAAGCTCCCTCCCCCTGCCCCTGCCTCTGCCTGTAGCCAGTGGATCTGAAATTGCTGGGGGCTAACTCCAGGTGTCTTTGCTGTGCCTGAGGGACATGAGCACCCTTGTGGGATTGTGCCTGATTCTTGTCTCTCCATCTGAGTTCTTAAAAAAAATTTTTTTTTTCACAAAGTTCCAGCAAGCCAAAATGGGGTTCACCCGCGCCCTTCCCCCCCCCCCCCCCGTGACCTCAGGGTTGATCTTGCTGACTCTGGAACAAGTTTAAAAAAAAATCATCCTTGTCCACTGTTCCCATTGCTGGCCACACACTTAACAGTTTGCACCCAAAATATGTAGACAGATACAGTGGCTTGGACAGATTCCCCTACTTTCCAATGAAGCAAAGAGTCCCTTTTTTGACATTTAATTTCGTTTACAAAGTCAGAGAGAGGGACGGGCAGAAAAAGAGAGCTCTTGCATCCATTAGTTCACCCTCCCCCCACCCCCAATGATATCAAATGTGAGTGCTGAGCCAAGCTGAAGCCTGGAACAAGAGATTTCATCCAGGTCTCCCACGTGCGTGCGTGCGGGAGCCCAACAATTGAACCACCTTCCATTGCTTTTCTGGGCTCATTTGCAGGAACCTGGATAGGAAAAGGAGCAGCCTGGACTTGAGCCGTATGGGATTCTGGTATTGTATGCTGTGGTGTTATCCTCAGTGGCACAAGCCCCAAAGGAGCCCTCTATTTATAAGTGAGAACATGTAAGGGCTCATGGCATGTGGCAGATCTGGGTCTGGAACTTGAGACTCATTGTTTCCACCGTAACACACAGTTATCTGGGGCTTGCATGCCCAGGCGTGCTCCGATTGACCTGAGCTGAGCTGAACGTGCAGGCAATGGTCTGAACCCATGTCTATTACAGTAGTTAACAGAGCTCCCATACCAGTCAGTGGTTTCTGTAGCCGCTAAAATGTCATCCCCCCCTTTCAGAATTGTCGGTTTCTTCTTGAAGGTCACACTGACCCCTTGCCTGGGACACCTGGAGGTAGGTGTCCGGGGCTAGCTCTGCTGCATGAAACATGTCCAGGATGCAGGTGCAAGGCAGCCTTGCTTGCTCTCACTTCTGCACAGTGCCAGGTACACAGCCTGGCAGAAGGCAGGCAGCCCTAGCCGTCACGACTGGGAAACAATGTCAGGCAGGAGTGGGCTGTCCGGGGTTAAGCACACTGAACTATGCCCTCACAAGGCCTGGACAGCAACAGTGCCCTCATTACTACATGAAGAAGGAAGCGAAGCCTCGTCCCATACTTGCCATTAGTTTTTTTTTGTTTTTTTTTTGTTTTTTTTTTTTTTACTTAAGAAAAAAAAAAATCTAACTCAATGCACTCACGTGACTGATCACTGTCTTAGTTGGGAAGGGTCTTGGTTGGCACCTCCTCGGCTTTGCTGCTGTTAAAATCTTTTGACTGCAATACTGAGCTTTTTCTTGGCTCTCAAGATGGGGCCCCATAGAGTCCTTCAGGGGACAGATGGTGCTTTTAAACACTGCAGCGACTTCTCTTTTAAGGAAAAGACTTTATAGTTCCCTAATGAAACCATTAAACTTTTGTTGTACTTTAACAACATAATTTGTTAATTCTTAATATTGTCAACAAATGGGGCTAGGAAGTGTCTTCCAAGCGGGTCATGATCAAAAACAGAAAAATGTAACTCTCCCCGGAGCTGAGGAGCTCTTCTAAATTGGCCAAGGCTCCAGTGTCCTGAATGCTGGGAGTTGTGCAATATTCCCTGCTCTGCGTCTGCTCGGCGTTATTAAGGCTGGTGGATGATTAGAAACAAATGTTGTTCTTGTCGTTGGCCAACTTTTTGCACAGCCTGCAAGAGAGAAACTTCTTGGGCCTTCATTTTTGGACAACTACGGCTAAGCATAAACATTCACAGAATACCACATTTTCCCCTGGCCATCCCTGGGCTTCTTCGCCACTCTTTTCAGGAACAGCTTAAT